TATGCTGAGATTTTAATCTGGCAGGCTGCAAAGAAGATATCTTAAGCAGTCAAAGATGAATGGAGGCCATCCTAAAGAAGGAATTGCTCGGTGCACATTTGAAGACAAGATTTTGATGAGTGACATTGTTTTCTTGCGGGCATGGACTCAAGTTGAAGTTCCTCAGTTTTTTAATCCCTTAACAACAGCATTGCAGCCTCGTCAGCAGACCTGGCAAGGAATGAAAACAGTTGCTGAATTGAGAAAGGATTACAACCTTCCTTTACATATAAATAAAGATTCACTTTACAAGGTATGAACTGGTTCTATGCAGAAAATATGGCTGCCCACCGACTTTGCTGCTTTCTTCCCTGTTTTGGGTCTTATTTTTACTTACGATTTCTTTTTTTCTTTTTGTTTTTTTGTTTTACCAAACTTTTTACTTACGATTGGTTCTATGCTTTTTTTGTTTTTGTCTATTTTCTTTGCCAGAAAATTGAAAGAAAAGCGGCGCGGAAGTTCAATCCATTGGTGATTCCCAAGTCTCTACAGGAATCACTTCCTTTGCGTCAAAGCCTAAAGATATGCCTAGTCGAAAGCAGCGGTCACTTGCTGAGAGAAGGGCTGTTGTTAGGGATACGCACGAGCGTAAAGTTCATGCTCTCGTGCAACAGCTCCAATTAATTAGAAATGAGAAGGTTAGTGTGCGGACTATTTTGCCATTCTCTTGACTGTCGTTACTTGCATCTCTGTCCCTGTCAAAGACGATCTAGAGTTGTCAGCTCTCTATTTGCCTCAATCATTCCTCTATATTGTAGCGGTTCAACTATTTGTATTTAAGCCGACATTTCTCACGGCTTCATTCTACGTCTTATGTGGACCTTTGTGCAGTTGAAAAAGCGAAAACTTAAGGAGGAGGAGAAGAGGAAAGAACATGAAGCTGAGAGAGCAAAAGATGAGCAATTGCTAAGAAAACGCCAAAGAGAGGAAAGGCGGGAGAGATATCGTGAGCAAGAAAAACTGAAGAAAATCCGGAGAGCAGAGGTCTCTAAGTTTGACTTCACTATGTTGCAGAACTGATTTGTCCTGTGCAGGCAAAAAGATGTTTGATGAGGGGGGCGCCCTCCAGAAAAGTGAAGTTTTGCGGAAATTACAGTCCCCTTTGGGGCATTCAGAAGGCGCGGATACCCGAATTACTAGCAGCCATGGGTCGAGGGAAAAAGCCTGTGAATAAGGTGCGGCGTGTCGGTGAGGTTAAATGGGCTTTGAATCCCTTGCGTGGCGTACATTTTGGTGACAACTGCTTGGCGCATCCTAAATATATTTTTATGTTTTGAGCGGCTTGCAGCCGGCCGTTCGACTTGTAAGCTAGAAATGTCGTTGGGCCTCGGCATGGTCCCAAGTATAACATGATAACCAAATATTCGAATCATTTATTTATTTCTTATTTTGCTTTTGAGTTATTAAATTATTAGACATTTTACTGCAGATTGCTCTCGATTTATTTGCTTCATTGGAAGGATTTCATGAATACTCCCCCCGGCTAACCAGGATCACGAGTAATAATAATCGACATTACATAAAATTTATTCATACTCATAAATATACGAAAAATTATGAATAAATACTTGTTGTTTTTTCCCTTATATTTTAAATTGGTAAGAAAGTATTTTTAAAAATAGTAACAGTAATAGTAATCGACAATACATTAGCTTGTGTTATCAAGCATTAAATAATGTTCTTCATTTTAAATCATTTCCTTTTTAACACTTCTGGAACGAATTGAATTGGAATTTCTTATAATGGCGATCTCAAGCAATTCAACTTCCTATTAAAAAAATTCTTGTGCACGTCATCCTTATGCAGGGACCGTGCTAATATTCTTTATATCGTTGGATCATGGACGTCCCCAAGGGGGCCTATTAAAAAAATTTCTCCAACAAAGCATCTCACTCCATTCCAAAGAAATACTCACAAAAAAAAGTTATTTGACAAGATGGTACTGTCTAGATTGGAAAGGTGGATATATGATAACAAAATGTTTTGAGCGATTGAATTCATCCTTCTACTCTCAACATGCAATCAATAGTTCAAAACACAACCATCAAGTAGTTAAGGAAGTACCCTACGTCGCCGGCGTGGAGTTTCTCGTTTCACGTACATTTTCTCCATCTCATCCAGCGGTCGAGTGGATCCATCTGGCAAGCTGGCAAATTTCCACCCCCCACCACCTCCACGCTTCCCTCGAGGTCCTAATTTCTCTACTGTAAATGTCCATCCATTAGAAGGGCGACGCCGACTATATTTGTGGCATTTCACCTCCCCAGCCATCTAAATGAAATTAAAACCACATTATTCAATGAATTCAGCAAACAGAAAGAAACATCTGATTATCAGGATAAAGGCAGAATAGCAGTTTAATCGACAAACATCTACAATGTTTGCAAACAATGGAAAAGGAAATTAAATGACACTAAGGACTAAATTTCCAGGCAAAATGACTGTACAAGACGCGCCCAAAATAATTGGACCGTGAATCAAACAAACAGACCAATAATCACTAATCTTTTAGAAAGGAAAACATTTGTGAGGAAAATAAACCATCAGCACTTCTCAATAACTGAAAGTATTGTCATGCTTTATTTCTTCAAAAAATGTTACATGCTTCGCCGAGAACATCTAGTAAATCAATAAAGCTACCTTTTAGAAATTTACCAAGTCTTCAACCCACAGTTTTCCCTTTCCATGAAAAGCAATGATAATCAGGCATGTGGCGTACCATAGTCATCCAAACAGCCAACAGCCACATATGGTCCATTAATACTCAAGTTTTGTCATAGAATGCCACAATTTAGTCCTTAAAAGATCACTTTCCTTTTACCTATAACTCTCCAAGAATAAAGCCTTTCAAGTTAATTTCCATACCATTTTCCTCTGATCAAAATGGCCCCATTAAGCAATGCCAGATTCACTGAACACACTGACATATGATAAATGGGAGTCCACATGAGCGAGAAAATAATCTTTTAGAAACTAAATTATTAATTTTCTGTGTTCTATTATGTCTTCTAGTAAGACATGGGCAGTCAAGACATTCATAGATAATATTACAGAACAGCAAATTATAAGCACCAGAGTCTCAAATGGTGTTAGAGGCTTTGAATTAAAGTCACCTATCAGACAACTTATCCGTAATTAGCATAAACACTCATCACTGTGAGGGGCATCTGTAGTCAAAGATAATACCACAAGTCCTACCAGCAAATCCTATCCTCATTTAACTTCTATTACGTATATGCCTGATTTCATCTATCATTTCACAAAAACCAAAATATAAAAATGTTGGCTCCTCTCTGCTACAGAAAATTTAAGACCAACAAAAAGACAAATAATGAATTATCAGCGAAAAAAATAAAAATAAAATAACATCAGCGTTCTCTCCATTGAGAAACATAAGGTTATGGCCGCGGAACTCACTTTCTTTTTGTTGAAGTTCATCCTTTGAACAAACTCTTGATAAAGCATCTCGTCTTCCTTTTGGGAGATTTCATAATGGACTTCATCCAAATCTTTGGTGATACCATCCCAACCCTCAGGCATAACCTTAAAGTCAGGTTTGTAAGGAAGCGATGCAACATGAAACTCCCTGTCATGTGAAATAAAAAATCTGCCAAAAAAATATTAAGACAAAAATAAAATAAATTATTCTAGCTAAAAATAAATAAGCTCTTCACCATATCCCTAAAATAACTTAATTGTCTATGTGCCCATAGCTTGCAAACTTTTAACCCAAGTCACATCACACATGAATCAATTAGGATGAAAGCAACGATAACGATTTTGGCAACCTTTTAACGCTTGGTCCATAAAATCTAAATAACCCGTCAACAACAACAGTAATACATGAAAGGCTTTTAAATAGAGAAAAAGGATGAGAAAGGCGATTGTAGGAAGGGTGGGAGGGCACACAATTTACAACTCTATTTCTTCTAAGTTATTTCCATAATTCATAAGCTGTTCCACAGTCCAACAAACCGGAAACAAACAGTTGACAATATATTATAAAGTAAATGAAGTAAAAGACATATTGATCAACGTAAATACATAAGAAACGGAAGCCACTACATGGCAGTTAATCCAGCTGAATGACGTAATATATAAGGTACATAAACCTCAAGGACACAATTTCGAGTTGGTCAAGGAGACAACTAGCAAAGAAAACTGGTAAACTCAGCTTGTTTGGTATTTCCTCTCAATTCAATTTCACGAGCAACAATAAAGAATTAAAAAAAAAAAAGACTTTATAAGGAAGACAGCAAGGCAACGTGAATAGACATTGGGACAGGGAACGCTTCCTTCCATCAGAATGGAGGAAGATTTATATTAATTTGAAAGCCTAGTTTGTATCTAAGATTGGTCCATCCAATGATAAAAAATGTGAACGACCATAAAAAACAGGAACATATGCGGTTCTCTTCGAAAGGAGGATTTTTTCCCCAGTGATCAGAGTTCATAGAACGGGAAGAAACTGAGAGAAAGAATGCACCCGACAAAAGTGTAAAAGAAAGGTCAAATTGTTGTAAAATCTGAACCATGACAATCAATGGAACAAATAGACAAAACAAAAACTTACTCGGGACAGGTGTCGAGCAAAACCTCAACAGAATCGTCGAGGGGATGGCCAAGTTTTTTCTCCTCTTCTTCCTCAAGCTCCTTCAGCCATAGAATGGCGTGCACTCTCTGCCTCATAATCCTGTAATCTTTGGCAAGCCTCTCAATAGTGTAAACCTCAGGGTTTTGCTTGTGCAAGCGATAAATCTCAGCTTTCTCGGAGTCCTTTAGATAAGATCCTCTAGCACCGGGCTCTTGCACTTGCTTCAGCAATACACTTATTTCACGCATCCTTTCATCCCATCCATCCACAAAAGCCCGACTCTTTTGATTTTCAGCCTCCAGTTCTTTCAACTTATCCTCTATGTCTTGTAAACTGGATAGCACTGAAGCTTGCCCATCAACTTGGCCATTGAAGTGCTGCTGTGTTAACCCAGTGGACCAAGACGACATGGACTCCCATTCCATACCATCGACGCCACTCCAGGATGATCCTAATCCCTTATCTTTTTGGTCATCACCGACTCCAGAATCGGTTGAGTAGCTTCTGGACCTCATGAATGGACGAGCTTCATAGCAATTGTGAGATCGTAATACTCTTGGGGTTGATATAGAAAGACGAGATATTAAACGCCGAATATTTTGCATGGTACCGGTAAAAGTATAACTCAAGAGACGCAGCGATGGCTGTGGACAAAGGACAAAGTTCAAGCTTCCATCCCAACCTCCATGTTTCCAGTGCTCGCCCTAGCTCCGATGCGGGGTGATGACTGATGCCGTTGCTCCACTTCATGGGCTTAGTTCGGCCCATCAATTATCTCAGCCCAACCCAAATTGTTGTCTCTTTTTGTTTTTGGATGCAAGGGAAAGAACACAAAATGTTGTCTTTTCCTGTTGGAAAATCCTTCATCCGATTGTCAACGTGGCATAATCAAATTGATATATCTGCTTTCATTTGACGGTCGAGATAAGTTCTGCATTTACCGCACAATGACTCTCTGGACAACTGAACACCTTTTCAGCCTCCTCCTCATCTTCCCTTCCCTCCCTCCCTCCCGCTCCCGCTTCGTTCGTCGCCCTGCAGCTCTTTTGGTCTTGGAACTCTCTTAAGTAAGTTATTTGTTGTCATCTCTTTTCCAAACTGAGTTTTATTTCTTTTATTCTTTTCTGGGCTGCTTTTAAAATTGCATCCGCTCAATTAGGAGCTGGTTCATTCGTTTGCATTTGTTCATTCTTCATCTTAAGCTTGGAAGTTACAAGCAAGTGAAGTTTTTGCGCTCTTTTGATCTTGCATTTTTTTGTTGTTGCGGAAGATCCCATGCTTCCGGTTATGGTAAATTTCTGGGCTTTTTAGGAGTTAAGATGGGAAAGCCCTCTAAAAAGAAGGGAGGAAGGCAAAAAAATAACTTGCTAGTGTTTTAATTATTTCGCGGATTCGACGCGGATGATCTTCATTTTCCACTCTTCCTCCTGTATTTAAGATCTTTTGTTTTTTTTTAATGTATTTTGTAAGTTTTTTATAACAAACCTTGAAGCGGCGGTAATTTTCTTTCCAGTTTTGCTGTAGCGTTTATTTTTGTCCTTTTATCTGAGAAATAAAGCCTATGGTCTACAAATCATGAATTTTCCTTCACTTTTCGCATAATTTTTTTTGGTCTCCGGTTTCACACTGACAGGTTTTCTCGATATCAGTTCAAAGAGGAAAAGTGAGATTCATTGCATTCTTGTTTTTTAGTTCGACATATGGCATTCTTGTTTAAAGGTAGAATAAGTCATGACATGGAATTAAATCTCCAAAAAAGGTAGTTGTATCTTCTATGGTTAAATATTTGACCGAGAATTATTCCCAGGGGAATGCCTCGGTTGAATTGAACATTGTTATGCGCACTATTACTTGAGTTACTTGGCTCATCTCTCAGTAATAACAGTTGTTTGAGACCAACGAATGAAGAACTATACATTTCTCCTCGAACTGATTCCTTTGATTTGTGTGGTTCATTTTGATTGAACTTTTAGAATCCTGGTATCATGTTAAAGGAAATCAAGTGACCAATTGGTAGGCTCGGAAAAAATTTTCTGCCCTTTTTGTTTTATTCATTGTGCATCCTCGATTCTCAGTTGAGATAAGCATTCGCCCCTCCGAAACTGCCATTCTAATTTAATCTCACCCCAAGAGAAAAGCCCAGAAAACGTATGTGTATAATTTATTTCAAACAATAAAAATGATTAACTTGTTCAATTTGACTTAGTTAATGGTAGCTGCATATCTTTTGTTTTTGGCCTGAAGCTGCATATCTGTGTTGGTCGAGAATTAAGTGGTGATGAGAAACCTCCTTCTTTATGGCCTTACTCCTTCTGGTATCAATAGACTGATCTATTATCTACACTTCATTTTTGTTGTGGACCTCAACATTACAGGTATTACTGAGTTTGCTGCGTTGTTATCTGCCTCTTTCTAGGGTATAACCAGCAACCACAAGGTTTTCCTCTTTAAAACTCAATGGTACCTGAGGGATAGTGGAGTTATGGGCTTATTTCGGGATGCTAGATGTTTTAAAGGTAAGAGTTAGGACAATTGATGGTTGCTGCCTTGCCGCTGCATCATTTATCTTGCATTATAAGTCTTCTTAAGTTATGCTTTGTAAAATTGTGTAAGCTTCCCTTATGTTAAAACCATTTAAGTTAATATGGGTTATTGCTGGAGTGTTCATACATATTAACTTAGTTTCTATTCATGTTTTAAATATTAGTTTGATCAAGACATATTGATAGGCACGTAAGTACACAGCTGGGTTCTGTTTCCTGTAGACAGTGCAGTGTCGTGCATTTTATGGCTAATACTTGTTCATTGGTAGCATTTGTTTGGTCTGTAATGCTGATGATATTGCATTTGTTGCAGTTTCTTTGTACTGTCAACTACTTTTTCTTATCATCTGGCTACCTTCTTACCAAGATGTGATGGCACAACAAAAACAAATTGACTTCAGTCGTGTTTCTTCAATGGCAGAGTTAGCCAAGGCACCTACTGTTGGACTATTTGATCCCATAGAAATATCACCTGCTGTCATACCACAACACCCTAATCCCACAGAGCCTCTGTCACCAATGTATCCTACTTTCCCAGCCAGATATGAACCAGTTTTAACTGGGAAATGCCCAGTAAATTTTTCAGATATATCAAATATCTTAGATAAAACAGCATCTGATTGTGCTGGACCTTTGGCAGCCCTTGTGGGGAATGTAATATGTTGTCCACAGTTTACTAGTTTAATCCACATCTTCCAAGGTTACTTCAGCATGAGCTCTGATAAGTTGGTTCTTTCGAGTACAGTTGCTGAACATTGTTTTTCTGATATCATTAGCATCTTAGCCAGTAGGGGGGCAAACAGTACAATCTCTACACTTTGCTCCATAAAATCATCTAATCTTACGGGTGGGTCCTGTCCTGTGAAGGATCTTTCCACTTTTGAGAAAACAGTTAACACAAGTAAATTACTTGAGGCTTGCAGCACTGTTGATCCACTGAAAGAGTGCTGTAGACCTATTTGTCAGCCTGCAATAATGGATGCAGCACTTCAGATTTCAGGGAGAGAATTGATGATCAACAATAATAAAAATTTGGGCGGAGAAGTGAATCACATGGATTATCTCAATGATTGTAAAGATGTGGTTTATTCTTATGTTTCAAGAAAACTTTCGTCAGAGGCTGCAAACACTGCCTTTCGAATACTGTCTGCCTGTAAAGTAAACAAAGGTATGGAAACTATATGGTTTTGACAATGGCATACTTGAGCAAATTTGTCCATATATCTCTCTTTTTTTTTTTTTGGTACTAACAATTTAACCCTCCCCGGCAGGGGAGCCACACACACCTGTATACCTTGTTTTGAGAACATCTTTATGGTTCATGGTTTTCCATCTTATAAATGAATAAAGCAGTGCTTATGGAGAGCACTGCTTTATTTTCATTGACATACAATTTCCTCATCATATAATTATTTCTCTAGAGACTTTAGTTTATACCCTGGCCTTTTTTTTTGGGGGGGGGGGGTAATATTTGAATTTAGAGTTAAATTTAATATATTTCCTGGAAGGAAAAAAAATGTAGACTATACCTCGATGGGAAGCAAATGAAATCCCTCTTTTTTTCACTATCGACAAGCTAGAGTCCTTCTTTTCACTGTGCATGTCTTAATGAACTGCTTCACATGATACTAAATTTCCAGTGTCATTTCATATCATTTTAATTATTCTAACGAACAAAGTAAAATTTGAGGTAATGTATACCCAATGAAATTACTATTTTGTGTTTCTATTCTTCCTCTTCTGCTGTTGTTTCCCCTTTTTATTGTCTTACTCTTACGAACTGAATATTTTGGCTGTGCAGTTTGCCCTTTGACTTTCAAGGAGCCTTCAGAAGTAATTAATGCTTGTCAGAATGTTGCTGCACCTAGCCCTTCCTGCTGTAGTTCATTAAACATTTATATTGCAGGGATACAAAAGCAAATGTTAATTACAAATAAACAAGCTATCATCTGTGCTACACTTTTTGGATCTATGTTACGTAGAGGCGGCATAATGACAAATATTTATGAACTCTGTGATGTAGACTTGAAGGATTTCAGCATACAACGTACCTACCCTGCTGCATTTGTTTTGTTTTTTTCCGCCTACTACTATCTTTAGTTTATCTGATTTAGTTCTTTTCTGTTGTGCATCTGCTCGGGGCTGGAACAGCATATGGACAACAAGGTTTGCTACTTCTACTCCTGCGATCAATTAAATGATTTTTTTTTTTGGGGGGGGTGAGAAAATGGTTATATATATATATATATATTTTTTTTGGGTGAGAAAATGATGTTATATTTATTGCCTTATGAATTTGATGCTGATTAAAAATATATATATATATGGAGTTGACAGCGTGTACTTGGAAGTTTGGGCGTAGTTTGTTGCCTGAATTGGGTCAAGATATCATGGCAAATGGGTTTTGAGTCATTGCATTGGGAATTGTTCCCTTCTGATTTATGCCAAGATTGATGGATTAGGCTTTGTTGGTTGAATCTGCCATCCAAGTTGATACGAGACACCTTCCTGGGTTGATTAGATTGCACGGATGGCTTTTACCCTTTATATTTGATTGGATAGCAGTTGATGTGTTCCTTAAATCATCATAACCGGGAAAAAAAAAAAAAAAAAGCAGAAGACCATGCTTTTCAAATAAGGGAATGACAGAAGACCATGCTTTTCTTACAAGGGAATGATGTTATTGTTTGTAGGATTGATAATATTGGTTTATGCAGGATGCCTGCTTCGGAGCCTGCCTGCAGACGTGGTGTTTGACAACTCAACAGGCTTTAGCTTTACTTGTGACTTGAATGACAACATTGCTGCACCCTGGCCTTCATCATCTTCGATCACATCCGTGTCCCTTTGTGCACCTGGTACATGAATAGACCGAATGTTCACTCCGGTTATTTTTAAGTCCTGGATATTTGGATACCATGTTATTGGGTCGCATATTACTTACATTTAACCTGTTTCTTGAGTTTTTCAGAGATGTCATTACCTGCGCTACCGACGTCGCAGACTTCAAAAAATATGGGTGAGTGCCATTCCCTTGTGCATTTCATTTATGTTTTAATAGAGACAATTATGGACCCTGTTCATAATTGATATATATATATATATATATATATATATCCATAAACTAGTTCTTGCTTTGTCTACCCAAATTTATCTGTCTCAGAATATTGTTGCTCATCAAAATTGATTTTGTAACTATGATGCGTTTTGCAGGCTGTAATTCTAGGAGATTGGAATATCGCATACTTATTTTTTCATTTTTCATCTTTGGTGCGTTACTGCACTAGAGAGATTTTAGGATTGAGCTGGTTGTGTCGGGAGGGCCTTTTCCAAATTTGCTGGCGTGTATTTGGCATGTATATTTTTAAATGGCCTGTGTATGTATAGCATGCCCCAACCCCGTTTTGCCTCTTTTTTTTTTTGGCCCCGGTTGCCTTTGCCCATCTTTCATCTACTTCTGGATATCCCGTGCGTTTGCTGCTTGTATTTGTGTAGCTGCAGCTCGTATCCTGAAAACGCGCTGTGTTTGATTGAAGCTGCCCTGATGATGCTTAGGGGAGGCAATTAAGTGTTTTCATCAACATATTCCGGCCTGAAGCATTGGGATAGGTTATTGTTACTCACATGCATATTCTGACATGTTAGCTTTTGCCATATGTCCGTAAATTCAATTTCTAAATCAGCCGAGCAGTAGATTCATATACGACATTTGATAAATGTTGCCAGCACGAAAAAGAAAGACAAGCTAATAAAAAGGAAGATTTGTGACTCCGGAAACTAACTCCCTATCTCATGTTTTGCAAAGATGACCTTAAGAATGCATAAAATTGCGCGAGGATTACAAGAACGAAAACACGAATCCGCCGCTGAAATCAAGAAAAATCAGAACCCGTGTGTAAGGTCTGAAGAGGCTAAGTGAAACCAAGTTTCCAGCAACATGAATGTTATAAAACCATCTTTGTGTTTAAGTGATCACAAAAGGGATGAAAGAAGTGGAGGGCACGTGATGCTGGGAAAGCGAGACAGTGAACAAACTCAGCAGACGACACGGGGATTTTTCGTATCAGATCTATAAGGCCAACCGACACGGCCTCAAATTTTTCTTGCATCGTGAATGAAGCATGAGGCTGGGTACTCTTTCTGGCACAACAGCTTACGCTAAGGCATGGTTTAACCATAGAGGACTCAGTTAAGCATCATATCTTAGCAAATAAACTGTCCACCATGGCGCATGACTGATCCGATGTTTTATCAAATTGCATATTCTCCATACAGAAGAAAATTAATTCAGCCTCCGCATCAGACAGCTTACCATAAGTAAAAGAGAAATCCAAAACCTCTATGGATCATGGGGATCTTGAGGTCCATAACGACTGCCCACCCCAAAACCACCAAAGCCACGGTCACATGTTCCGCTTTCAAAGTTGATCTTGAAAAGGCCTACGATAGGATGAATTGGAATTTTATTGGTAAAATATTGGAGGAGATGGAATGTCCGGAGGAAACAAAGGAAAGAATTATGGGTTGTGTTCTGACCGACATTACAAATATTCTGTGGCATGGCGAGAAATTAGAAGGCTTTCAGCCCACTCGGGGAATTAGACAGGGCGATCCCATTTCTCCTTATCTTTTTGTACTCGGAATGGAAAAACTTACCCATATGATCCTAGATAGAGAGAGAGTGAAACAGTGGAGAGGTTTGAGAGTAGGCAAAGCAGGACCCATTATAACTCATATGATGTTTGCTGACGATCTTGTTCTTTTTGCAGAGGCGAGTCTTTCTCAAATTGACAATATCTTAAATTGTTTACAGGAGTTTGGGGAAATATCAGGACACAAGATTAGTCAAGAGAAAACAGTGATCTATTTCTCACCAAATGCTCCGGTGCACTCAAGGAGGGCAATTTGTTCCAGAAGCAATTTTAAGGAGGTTGCTGAGCTCGGTAGATACCTGGGGGCAAATATCTCTCACCAAAGGAAAAGACGGACCCGCTATGCAGGCATGCTGGATAAACTCAAACAGAAACTGGGTGGATGGAAGGCCTCTAGTCTCTCAATGGCAGGAAGAATCACTCTGGTCAAAGCAGTTACTAGCTCCATGGCAATTTATCCCATGCAACATGATAAACTGCCAAAGGGAGTAATAGAGGAGATGGAAAAAGTGCAGAGGAGGTTTATATGGAGGGAAGAAGGAAACAAGCACTCATGGCATGCGATTGGATGGGAGACGCTGTGTAGAGAGAAATCTCAAGGAGGGATGGGAATTAAGTCAATGATAGAAATGAATGATGCCTTCATACATAAGCTGTTATGGAGATTAAATACCGAACCCAACGCATTGTGGGTTAAGGTGTTGCTCGGTAAATATGGAAGAGGGTCAAGTACTAGGGACAGACCTATAACAAAAGCCACGGACTCAAGACTCTGGAAAGAAATGGCTAGAGCTTGGGATAGCTACCAAATAAATGTGTCTGAGGCCAGAAGTCCGAACCAGCAAGATACAAAGGGTCTGAAATGGAGGTTAACTAGCAATGGGGTTTTCACTACCTCGAGTGCGTATCTAAATCTAAAAGGTATGCAAAACTCAACATATGGAAAACACTGGAAGTTGATATGGAAATTACGCTTACCAGAGAGGGTGCGTGTCTTTATCTGGAGAGTCCTTCACAAAAAACTCCCCACGAAGGATGTCACAAGTAAATGGGACGGAAGCCAAGGTTGGTGTGAATTATGCAACCGCGCCAAGGAGAATCACCAGCATGCCCTGAGAGATTGCCTTTATGCCACTTCTATCTGGAGGAAAATAGTGCCATGGCAAGCAAGACCCAAGTTCTTCGGTCAGGATTGGAAGGACTGGGTAATAGGGAATATTCTAGACAAGCGACGAGTCTCTGAAAATTTCAATTGGAATGAACTATTTGCAATGGGAATTTGGCAAATATGGAACTGGAGGAATCTTCTGATACATGATGAGGAGTTTGAGTTCCCGTCGAACCCGGAAAAAGTTATTTACAACGCTTTGCAGTACTACCATCACAGGTGGGGGGAGATGCTGATAGAGAGGGTCATAGAAAGAGATAGGAATATCAAGTGGAGAGCACCTGAAAAGGGGTGGTGTAAGTTGAACACAGATGCGACTGGTCCGGAACAGGGCATGAACGGATGTGGAGGTGTAATAAGAGGGGACTGTGGCGAATGGTTGGGAGGATTCACGATGAAAATCAGACAAACCAGTGCTACTAACGCTGAAGCCAGAAGCTTATTGGTAGGTCTACAAGAATGCTGGAATCTGGGGTTTAAGAAAGTCGAGGTGGAATGTGATGCCAGCCAGGTAGTTGAGGCCATCAACAGTGACAAACCCTGCAACGGAAGTCTATGGCTCTTTACTATGATACGCAATATGTTACAGAAAGATTGGCAAGTGAAGGTTAATCATATCTATAGAGAAGGAAACAGTTGTGCAGATTGCCTGGCAACGATAAGTCTGGAACAAGTTGAACAGTGGGTCAGATGGTCGGCTCCCCCGAGTATGCTGGAGAAAATGCTCAAGGAAGAAGCCGCTGGAGTCTTGTAGTTGTTTGTTTCCCTTAGTTGTTTATTTGTATGGGCTTAGCCCCTTTTTCTCACCTAAAAAAAAAAAAAAAAAACCTTCCATCCCCTCTGGACCCATGGCCAGAATTATAATCCAAGGTCCACCCCTACGTGGGTTAACAGATCTGGACATTCAAGTGGGTCTACTGCTTGCAGTGACACTAACAGAAATTGGGTTTAGCAAAAAAATCAAGATTTAAGTTCTCGCCGGGAAAAGTATCTAAGTTTTATACCTGACAGTATTTCTAATTTGATTGTCTTTGTTAATAGTACAACCGTGAAGATATTAAAAAAAAAAAAAATACCTACATAGTTCTGCTACCAGGACCTTGCACGTACAGGCCTTCCGACGGTGATCCTGACAATGGTTGCATTCTTATAAACACACGCAAACAAAAGAATACTGGTTTTTCAAACAGGAAGCAGGGAAATGAACAGTTGTTTTTTCTCTTCAGTTTGTGCATGTCATCCTTACACGGGCTATACTAATCTTTGTGTTGTTCCAATTTCATCCGATGTCCCGAACAGTTGCTTTCAAAATGCTCAGTTTATTATTATTCTTTCTTATTTGGGGGGGGGGGGGAAAGCTGAAACGAACGGGAAGAACGGAGTAAGGTGATTGTGATTAACGCATGAGGAGGAGACTTTTAGCCAAGGGAAAGGGAAAACAATGATGATCCATAATGGATCAAACACGTCTAAACAAGTTTTGATAGAGGGATGGGCAATTGAAGAATCGAGGACCAAAGTTAATCAGAATGCGACAGGAGCGCAAGCGGAAGCTAAAGAAATTGAGCTAGAAAAAGAGGGAACGGAGATGATAAAAGGACAGTGAATGCCAAGAGCGAAAATGGGAAACACGACCCTGAGGATTCTATTACATATTTCTTCTCAGCCCACTTTGTTAGGGACACGATTTATTATAAAATAATCAATTTAACTAATTTTTTTAAATTTTTTTAATTAGCATAAATTCAGAATTTTCTCAATTCCCTCTGAACTTAACATTAATTTTTATTGGACCAAGAACATAAAGATTAAAACTCTCATAATAAATACGTTTCTCGAGTTCACTTAAAATTAGTTAAAATAAATTAATCGAAACATCAATTGTCAATCAAAGGAGACCTCCGAATTCTCCACGCTACTTTCAACAAAATTTTACACGCATTAAATATACATGAATTACACACATACACACGAGCATGCTGTTCAGCCGTGTCCCGCAGGTTTCAATATTTCTCAACTTCCCTTATCATGCTGCCCTATACTTCCACCACAATTTTCTCGGTCTCCACGCTCTCCTTTGAAAACATCCGCCCACCGTCTTCCAATGTCAGTTTGATTTCTCATCGGCTTTCCATTCTTAATATGAATTGAAAACTTTCGATTCCGTCATAATTTTACATACTTTTTGCATCTACCAAATGAACTTATGAATCAAGTTTGACTTTATCCAAGAGCCAGCTAAGCTTAATCACAAAGCTACCGCTTTGATATGAGTTAAGACCCCACAAAGGATAACATAGGGAACCTCATACGCCAACCAGGAAGCACGCAAGAACCAAGCATTAAGAATATTCTTGAAGAATATTTGACTCAGTTCAGAGGTTATTATGATTTAACTTCGTTCCTGTTTCATTCTATTTTTCCAATTCTTAATATAAAACATAATTAATTAATTTGTGTACATTAAAAATGTTAGTTAAATTAGTTAATATAACATGTTTTACTAAAACACTCTAATCATCTCTCTTAGTTTCCTCTCTCCTTTCTATACTTGATTATTATTGAAAGAATATCAATAGGATTAATTTAAAAAAATTACTAAATATGTAAAATAAATCTTATATATATAATCAATATTAAACATCAAATTAGATCCTACATTAAGGATCTGATTACCACTTTATTGCTACTGCCAGTGCCATCCATTTTAAAGAGTAAGAAAACGAAACCTATACATCCTTTCTTTCCCCCTTGTTTCTTCAACTATATCATATATACACAAGAAATGAGATCAAGGCACCGTAGTGAGATATACCTCTTTCCTGCCTACAACTTCTAATTTCTATTCTGCTTCTAGCATATACAGATCTATAGAGTAAACAC